AGCATTTTTGCAGTTGTCTTTGAGCATGATTGAATTTACCTTTAACTGAAATAATGAAATTGCTCATACGTAAGCTAAATATATGTTTGATTTTCATTTAAGATTGGGAAGAACAAAATATACTTAAGGGTGAAGCAAAAAGGGTAAATGCCCTTCTCAAAAAACACCATCAAGYGAAGGTATTTTAGAATCATTCCATGATTTTTTAAAGCTTATRCTCCATTAAGTAGCATTTACAATATGAGCGGTCGATTCGTATGTGATTTACAAAGGCAAGCCAAAGGCGAGCTGTTGTAAATCCCATACGAATCAGATGCAAATGTTGTTAAGTTCTTATGAAATGTCTTGGACTAAATTCTCATTTTATTTTCATGTACAATTTTTACGATCCAAACGATAATTTTGACTGATAAAAATCTAAGCTAAAGTCTAATGCAAATGAAGACGGTYCTGTATCAGACTTGAACCTCAAATACTGTTATGATTTGCTATTTTAGTTCACTCATTATTTATTCATGAGTTTTTTAAGATTAATTATAAGATACTCCAAAATTAATTTGGTTTTTTTCTCCAAGGATTGGGAAAATGTTTGTCGACCTGGGGCAGCACAATGTTTCCAAACTACCAACAGTGCTTAAGTTTTGCAATTCAAGCTCAAATTCATATAGCTGTATCAGTTTTTTTGTACATATTTGTTTTTTAAATTAATAGGATGCAAGTTCAAAACAAGATTTGGATAGACAATTTCCAAAGGAGCTTCTGAAGGAGCTTTTTCATGGTGTGTATGAGAGGCTAGACACCATAGCTAACCTCCTTCAACAGCAACAACAAAATGCAAGTCTTGCAGCTTCTAGTACACCAACTAGAAGTGAAAAAATGGCCAACAGGCCCATGCCACTTRTCACAAGTATAAGAACAAGTCTYGGGTCAAATGAGGTACTTTTCTGAAATGGCATTTTAATACAATTAAAGATATCTATGATTTCAAAATACAGTAAAATCCCAAAAGCTCAAACTCACATCTCTGCTCCAACTCAAACCAAAAGTGATTTTCTTTGGATTTACATTAACTTTAATTAATTTTATCCTCAGCAACATGACA